TGAGGAGCTGAGAGGTCTTGCAGCCTCTCCTTGTCATTCTCCCACCCCACGTCCCACTTTTTAAAGCCCTTTTGGTAAAAACCGGCAGGTTGTGGCCCCAGACCTCAGATGGACCTGGCCTATCCCTGGGGACGTGCTGGGTGGCGGGCGGGAGAGCTGCACCCCGCATGGGGCCGCCGCACCGCTTCCCTCCGCGCAGCTCTTCTGCCTGGTTTTCGGAGGCCAGGCTCCTGGGAAGCTTCTGTGGTCCCGTCCTTCCTTCAAGAAGCTGGGGAGCTCAGGCAGACACATGTCCGCAGAGCACGCCAGCTGTGGAGGACGGGTTGAGGTGAAGATGCGTGCACACGTCAGGTGGCGGGGACTTGAGCTTTAAAAAAACTTCACAGCCAAATCTTCTCCGAGCCGCTCCATGTCACGTCCAGCGGGGCCTGGCCAGCCTCAGGTTATCTGCTTGGGATGAGATAACACCACATCCTGCAGCTGTGAAGGGGGACGGACACGGGACGACGGCAGAGCATCAGCAGCTGACACATAGCCCGGATCGGGGACTTGGGTGGTCCTGCGTGGCCCGGGACTCATCTCACGGACCCTCCGTTCTGCATTAAGCCCCAGGTTCTCTTCTGGCTTTGAAAGGGCCCGAGTGCTCCCAATGTAGCTTCGTCACGTCGGCACGAGCCCCAGTGGTCATGGGCGACCTCAGGCCTCCCTCCCTGAGTTCTACTGTGACATAAAAAGTCCCCCGTGGCTGGTGCAGCACAGCCGTGCTGTGCTGGGGAGCCACCCGTTCCTTCGGGGGTCCTCGGGCCTGCAATCCCCTCACACTCACTCTTCACCCCACGTATTTTCCGGTGCTGATACGTTTCCAGACTCCAGCGCAACCTGGGGCACTCTCCAGACCCATGCAGGGGCCGCCTGGGGTACACGGAAGGAAGTGGAGTCCTAGTGGAAAATGCAGGTGGACGTTGCCAGAGCGTGCACAGCAAATGACCTTCATTGCCAGTTGCGCCCCACTCCTCTCATTTTTTATACTAAGCAATAACTTTCCAAAGCAAGAAGTTCAGGATGGAGAGAGTCCCCTCCTGTCCAGGCATGGGGTAGACGCGGTGCCCACCTGGGCTGTGCGGGGAGCACCGCTGGCTCTCGGGATGCGCGATTTTTTTTTTTTTTTTTTTTTGTAATTAACAGGGCATTAGAAGATGATTTTGCCAAAATTGTCATGACTGAATTCTTGCTGTGGGGACTTCCTGAGTTTTCTCAGTTTTTACATCTAAGATTAGTCTTGGCTGAGGAGAAACGAGACGTGATTATACTACTTTCAATTGCAGGTTTAAGCAGTTCAGATTTAATGACCAAAGTCATGCAGATCCGTGGAATCTGTCGTCGTCTTATACAGTGTCAGCCTCGAGTAAATTTATTGACCTTCTGGGGCTGTCAGTTTTCCACTAGGATTAAGATTTTGGCTGAGCACAGTGGCTCACGCCTGCAATCCCAGCACATTGGGAGGCTGAGGCGGGCGGATCACTTTGAGCCCAGGAGTTCAAGACTAGCCTGGGCAACATGGCAAAAACCACGTCTCTACTAAAAATACAAAAAAAGAAAAGAAAAAAAAAATACTAGCCAGGCACATAGTGGTGTGTACCTGTAGTCCCAGCTACTTGGGAGGCTGAGGTGGGAGGATGGCTAGAGCCCAGGAGATGGACTTTGCAGTGAGCTGAGACCATGCCATTGTACTGTAGCCTGGGTACAGAGCCAGACCCTGTCTCCAAAAAAAAAAAAAAAAAAAAAAAAAGATTTTCATAATTCCCATTTTTATTTATTTTGAGTCACTCATAATTAATTGCCAAAAAAGCATTTTATACCTTGAGTTTGGGGGGGGGGGTGGATCTTAGTGTGGTGTTGCATGGAGGGGCGAGATTTTATATTTATAATCAACACGTGGGTTAACATGTTTTTTTGAAATCCAAGCAATACACAGGAAATTTAAGTAGAATAAAAATTCCAGCCCATTTTTGAAATGTCAGCATGTGCTGTGTTCAGGTCAGATTTTTGTTGTTTGTTTTGTTATTTTTTAACTAATAAGTTGGTTATCAGTGGTGGGTTTTCAAAACATACTTGTTCTAATAAGTTGTGCAATGAAATAAATCAGTGGCGTTCTCTGGATGATGTGGGGGAAGGTTAGCATATTTTCTGGCCTTCTATGGGTAGCAACCCAGAATCAATCTGAATTAGACCTATTTTGGTGGAGTTTGTACATTTTAAATCCTATAACAAAAATAATCTAGCTTTCATTTCCTTCCTAGCTAGATGCGAATTTGTCTTTTCAAATGACCCTGTCAATAAGCCAGAAAGGGCAACACAGAAAAAGTGCTCCCCAAATCCCTTCTGAGACTTGGCCCGTGTGTCTGGACGAGAAGCCATTCCCTGTAAGGGTGCAGAAAGCTCGACCAAGCCGAATTGCAAACAGCGTTCGCGCTATTTTTAAATGTACAGGTTCGATCGTTTCTATAGAAATGGGTTTATCTAAGAAAAGTCTTGGTATGTCTTGCTGCTGTAAAAGGCCTTTCGGAACCCCTCCTTTTATTCCTGTTCCCTGTAGGGTGTTTGTAGAGTTAAGGACCTACTGCATGTCTGTCCCCAGGGTCCCGGTGGAAGGAGGGCAGCGCCTGCTCTTCCCCGACTCAGCCCATCATCTGAAAATTCAGAAGTGAACCAAGGGTTAGATGCCAAAGGTTGGGCTTCTGTTAGAGTGGCTTCAACACGTGAGCCTTATGGGAAGTAGCCTTTAAAAAAGAATGGGTGTACGCAGTGACTTCCGATGGAAATCTCCAAAACAATATTCCTAAGTAGCAATGGGGTTGGCTCAAGTCTTTATTAACAAAGAACATTCTCTTTCATCTATAAAAAAATTCTTAAAGCTGCGTCGACAGTATTGAATTACCAGCAACCTGTGAAGATCAGCTGGGCGGGTGCGGACACGTGCTGGTGAAGCACGCAGGCTTAGTGGGCTGAGCGGGATCTTGATCATGGGGCTGGTGTATGGATCCACCGTGGGATTCCGTCTGCAGAGGAGGATGTAGGGGGCCGTCACATCCCCCAGGCCTCCCTGCTGTCTCTTTAACACAGGCAAAAAAGGTCCCCGCAATATAACAGTCAATGAACTTCCAGTTTAAATTGTGTACATTTTTAAATTGTAAGATTTTTACTGTATATTGATGCATAGTGTGATTCAATAAATTGCTTGTAATTTAAAAACTATTTAATATTCAAAATAAATATAGTTATATATTTATAAACTCTGTTGCCGCGTTTCTTCTATGTTTTGTCCATGTGCAAGGACCTGGGTGGGTGGCCTGGCCCTGCCCTGCTGGGAACGCCCACAGCCTGTGCCCAGGGCCCCTGCCCTGGTCCCTCTGGAGCTTGTGTTTAAGCCAGGACAGACTTAAACTCCCCGCACTCCTGAGGACATAAAGCTTTTGTGTCACCACTGGAAAACCAAACCTGTTCAGTGTTCGTGCCCCCTTGAAGCATGTCTATAATCCATGCCTTTGCACTCATGAATTTCGGAAGCATTTTCATTTCCAAAGACCTCGATTGGCCCAGCCTCAAATGAGCTCTAGGCCAAGAGAAGAACTAACCTTGGCTCCAAGCCAGCCTTTCTGTGCCCACCCCCTGGCCCGCCACCCCACCCCACCATGGCCCCTCTGAGTCCCCACCCAGAAGTACTGAGACAGGGCAGCGAAACCCATGAGTGTGGAGCTCCAGCCTGCCAGCCAGCGTGACACTCACAGTCACCACACCCCTAGCAGCCCCGAATGGTCCCTCCCTGAGCAAGATGCTGCTTTGGCTGGGCGTGGTGGCTCACGCCTGTAATCCCAGCACTTTGGGAGGCCGAGGCGGGTGGATCACTTGAGGTCAGGAGTTCAAGACCAGCCTGGCCAACGTGGAGAAACCCCGTCTCTACTAAAAATACAAAAATTAAGTGGGCGTGGTGGTGCACGCCTGTAATCCCAGCTACTCGGGAGGCTGAGGCAGGAGCATCGCTTGAACCCGGGAGGCGGAGGTTGCCATGAGCGGAGATCATCTCGCTCCACTGCACGCCAGCCTGGGCAGCAAGAGCGAAACTCCGTCTTGAAAAAAAAAGGCGTTCCCATGGACAGCCTCCCCACCCCCAACTCGGGGTCCGCCCCCAGCCCGTAGGAGCCCCAGGTTCCCCTAAACATCCCGGGCAGCGGGGCGGGGGAGCCCCTGGGAGATGCCGGCGTTTTCGCGGAGCGGCTCGTCCCGGAGTGCTCCTGGGACTTGGGCTCTGTGCTGAGCCTGAACCGGGGCTGCCCCTCCGTCCGCCTGCTCCCAGGGACCTGTTTCCCCATCCGCGGAATGGGCCCGGGGCCCCGCCAGGAGTGGAGAGGCCGGGGAAGGAGGGCCGCGGGAGGCATGGATGCGGGGGTGCTGTGTCGGGGGAGGGTCGGGGAAAGCGGGTGGGGGGAAGCTGTCTCGGGCACGGATGTGGGGTAGGCGAGTGGGGAAGGTGCGGGTGGAAATTGAGGGGGAGGATGGGGACAAGCAGGTTGTGGGGAGGCTGTCGGGGGACGGGAGTAGGGGAGGTGGGGACGCAGCCTGTCTTGCGAAGGCTGTAGGGGCAGGATGGGGAGAGACGGATGGGGGGAAGCTATCTCGGGGCGGGTAGGGGAGGCTATAGGAGGAGGAGGGGGAGAGGCGGTGGGGGAGGCTGTCTGGGGAAACGAGGGTGGGGGCTGTCGGGGGAGGACGGGAGAGGCGGTGGGGGAGGCTGTCTGGGGGGACGAGGGTGGGGGGACTGTAGGGAGAGGATGGGGAGAGGCGGGCGGGGGAGGTTTTCTGTCCTGGGGGCGGGGCGGAAGCGGGGGCGGGGCTGCGCGGCCACCTGGTCTGGGAGCCCCAGGCGCCGGCCGCCCGCCCGCAGGTGCCGCCACCGCTGCCCGCGCCAGCCCGGGACACCCGGACCTCGGCCCCGCCCCGGCCCCGCCCCCGCCCCGAGGGCTCATTTGCATGCGTCCGCGGCCCCGCCCGGGGCGGCTAAAGCGACGTGTCCTTGTCCCCCGTGGGCAGCCTCAGCGCGTGCGGCCGCGGATCCCCAGGTAACCCGGGAGCTGGGAACACGGGTGGGGCCGTGGGGAGGGAACCCAGGGGCAGGACCTGGCGGCGGGGTTGTGGGGGTTGGGGGGAAACCCGGGTGGGGGACTTCTGGTCTGTCCGGAGCCCCCACGGGGGCCATCCACGTGGTGGGATTGGGGGCTGCCGCCAGGCCCTGGCCATTGCCGACCTCTGACCTCCACGGCTGCCCCATGTCCGCAGCGGTTCTGGCCCCAGTGCTGTCCCTGCACGTGTCACGTCCAGCGGGGCAGGACAGCGAGAGCCTGGTGGCTGGAGTCACTGCCCGCCCACGGGGCGAAGGAGTCAGTGCCGCCTCCGGCAGAGGCGCCCCCTAAGCTAGGGTGGGGGACGCTTCTCAGGGTGGTCTAGGCAAAGTGTCAAAGGTCACCAAGCTCAGGAGGCACTGGGGGGCCGTGAGGGGCATGAGGCCAGAGGAAGATCTAGGGGTCAGGGTGAGTCGCCCAGGGGGAAGGGGGACGCAGGGACAGGGACAGGTTCCAGAGGTCTGTATGAGGTAAAGCAGGGGCATGGGGTGGGGTCAGCCCAGGGCTAAGCGTGTGAACAGAAAGATCTCCAGTCGCGGAGCGTCAACCCCTGCCCCTGGTACCATTGTTGTCAGCAAGTAGGAAGCTGCCGGGGACAGCACCCCAGCGGGTCCCCTAGCCATGTGGGGGTGACCACAGAGTGTCCTGTGTTCTGGATTTCAGCTCCAAGGGCCTCATCTCCCCGCCGCCACCTCCTGGGACAGCCAGTCCAGGGCCATGAAGACCAAGAACCGGCCCCCGCGGCGCCGGGCCCCGGTGCAGCACACAGAGGCCACCCCTGGGGAGGGGACGCCAGAGGGGTCCCTGCCGAACCCGGGGCCAGAGCCGTCCAAGGGTCTGCGGAGCCGGCCGGCCCGGGCTGCAGCAGGGGCGAGGGGCGAGGGCGGGCGCAGGCGTCCAGGCCACTCGGGACCCGGTGGCCGTCGTGACAGCAGCATCCAGCGGCGGCTGGAGAGCAACGAGAGGGAGCGGCAGCGGATGCATAAGCTCAATAACGCCTTCCAGGCCCTCCGTGAAGTCATCCCGCACGTGCGCGCCGATAAGAAGCTCTCCAAGATCGAGACACTCACACTGGCCAAGAACTACATCAAATCACTGACGGCCACCATCCTGACCATGTCCAGCAGCCGCCTCCCGGGCCTGGAGGGGCCGGGCCCCAAGCTCTACCAGCACTACCAGCAGCAGCAGCAGCAGCAGCAGCAGGTGGCCGGGGGCACGTTGGGGGCCACCGAGGCCCAGCCCCAGGGCCACCTGCAGAGGTACTCCACCCAGATCCACAGCTTCCGAGAGGGCACCTAACGCCCAGCCCTGGGTGGGGGTGGCAGTGGCCGCGGCTGCCCGGCCTGCTCCTCCCAGCCCCAGTCCCTCCAAGCCGCGAGCCCCAAATGGGCGGACACACCCCACAAGGACGCGGCCTCAGCGGTTCCATTTTCCCCCGAACATTCAGCCATTTCCCTGGAGCAATTTTTCCTGCCCCGCTGGGGACCAGCAAGTGGCCTAGTTGAGGCCATGGCCCTGGAGAGCGGCGTGAGGCCCAAACCTTTGGGTAGGGCCCAGGCAGATCCGGATTTTTCACTGAGCCAGGCAGTCTCCTTGAAAAGGAGGAAAAGTTGAAAACCCTCCTTAGCCTTGGCACCAACGATTCTTCACCCTGACTTCCTCCAGGGCAAGGGGAGATCCCAGGAAAAGGGTTACCGGCAGGTTTTCTGAGGCCAAGGCCCCGGCAAGGGACCCCTGCCTCCAACCTTCATTATAGGGCTACATGGGGCCTGGGCTCAGCATCCGCATTTGGGGTAAACTGAGGCCCGGGACAAGCCCGGCAGAGCCCAAGGCTGCTCAGGGAGTGGGGCCAATCTGAGATGGTTGGAGCTGGCAGAAAATCTAATCAGATGACGTCAAATTCATCCTCAAAGGTTGAATAGTGGGGAGGGGCTGGAGTGTCTTCCTCCCTCCTCCCAAGTAGGGGCTCCTGGATGTGGTGACCCCAGGCTGTGCCTGGTTGTGGAGGGTCTGGGACAGGGTGTGAGGGGCGCTGTGGAGCTGGAGCAGGAGACAGGGCTAGGTGTTGCTGGTGCAGCCCTTCTGGGCATGGGAGAGAAGCCCCAAGGCCCTTTCTTGCCCCCCAAGAGTGGCTCTGAGGCCTCCTGCTCAGCCCCGGCCCGTGCAGGGACTAAGTGTGCCCCACCCCAGCCCCCGCCACCGCCGTTACTTATTCTCACTGACGTGGGGTTGTCATATAATTGGCACCATGCTGTGTCTGTAGGACATGACGATGTGCTTGGGTCCTGGTCTGAGTTGGCAGCCCGTTGGGTGTCTCTGCCTGGTGGAGCCTCGGGGTGGCAGGTACATCCCTTCCCCCACCCAGGTACTTCATGCTCATGGCTGGGCCTGGTGGCTTGGCACGTCTCTGCCGCCCCAAGCCCAGCTTCCTTCTGCTGGGCGTTCCTGCCCCACTGGCTCTGCCGGACTTGGCCACTTGGCTCTCCCCTCCCTCATGCCTCTGCCCAGAGATGTCCTGAAGGCCCTCAGGGCCAAGCTGGGCCAGGGATGTGGCTGCCACAGCTGAGACTAAGGGCTCTGGTTGGCCCGTCCCCACCAGGTGGCCTTGCCCTTCCCAAGATGGGGGTTGTGGTGCCAAAGGCTGCATGCACCAGCAGGCTTGGGGTCACGCCTAGCCACGTAAGGACACAGGTGATACCCTGAGTATCTGGCATTGGCAGCTTCGGGCCTGATTTTCCTGGTCAGGGCCCCTTAAGGTGGCCCGGGCACGTAGGCCTCATTTCGATGAGACTTTATCAGAGGCCTGGTCTGGTCCTGGCCCTACCGCCCCGGCTGCCCTTCAGCACAGCTCGGGGTGGGGACTCTGGGATGCTGGGTCTGCCCCTTGGGAGGGGGCAGTCTGGAAGGTGAGGGTGATCCACCACCGTGGGCTGAGATTGGATGCAGGTGGAAGCTTGGGACAGAGACAGCTTGGGGCTCCCTTGCTGTGGGACACCTGCCCAGCGGGGACTCAAGATGACAAAGACCTCACCAGCGGGGGTACTCAGGTGCTACAAACCTGGCAGCTCTTGTTTCCGGCTGAGCCATGGCCAGAGCAGGGCTCAGTCCGCCCGTGAACTTGCTGAATGGACCGACAAGCTGAGCCCGAAAGCCCAGAAGAGCCTCGGTCCAGGAGACGAAGACTGGACCCGGTGTCCAGCACAGCCCAGGGCTTCCCGGGGGGCAGCAGGAGGGCCTGGGGGTCACCGCCTTCAGGACAATGGCCTCAGTGGCTCCTTCTGCCCTGAACTGGCACCTGCACCTCCTCCGCTTCCTAAAGGGTGACCTGGGCCGAGCAGCCAGTCCTTCTTCCCCTGAGGCCAGAGGGGACACCCTGTGGCCACATCACACAGGATACTCAGTAGCCATAGTCTCGCTTCGGGGTGTCCAGTGTTTCGAGGAGGAGAGGGGACAGGGGCCAGGCCCACTCCCTTGGCCCTCCTCTTGGACCCCAAGGCCAGGCTGGATCCTTTTATCCTGTGGAGAGCCCCTGCCTCGGCCATTGGGCTGAGTTCCCTTAAGTCCCCGCATAAGCGGGTCAGAGACCCACGTGCCGTCCCTGGGCTACCCCACGCGCTGTCCCCCGGGGCTGTGGACGCACCCACCCTTTGGCAGACAGACGCCCTGAGAGCTCCGGAGGCGCGATCCCCATCCCCACCCGCGGAGAAGCCAGAACCGCGATTGTTGCGTCTGGGAAAACCCGGCCGGAGCCGCACGGCCCGGGCCCCTCTGTAATTGTGCTGAAAATGATTCTCAAATGACCCAAACTGGCTCTTATGTTTTCTAATGGCCCTTTCAAAGTATTCATGAAATTGACGCTGTGTCACACAACAAAAAATAAAAGATTTCACGGCAATGTCTGCTTTAGGTACGTGGGGAACCACACGTTTTAATCAATCAATGTTATCAATAAAAACACCAGGGCATGGACACTCCAGGGGAAATGTTTATTGAGTAAAGCATCTGAGGAAGTGATGCTGGGCAGGTAAACAGTTGGTGCTCAGCAGCGAGAGGACGCGTCGCTCTGCCGTTCTGCAGGGTGACGCCCTCCCCGTACCTCGCTGAGAGCCGCGTGCAGACACAGCAGAATGCACAGGTCACTGTTGTAGGGGAACAAACCGTAATGCCCAGAGAAAACCTGACACAGAAATGTAAACAGACAGGACAGGGTGGCTCCAGGTGGCCGCCACCGTCAGGACCTTCCCGTGATTGATCTGAGAGCTTCCCAGGCGGCGGCACTGCGACCCACTTCCAGAAACACCGGAACACCAGGTCCCTCAGATGCTGGCGGGCGGGGCCCCAGGGAGACCTTTCTCAGCATCTGCTTTTGGGTGACAAACCCCATATTGTACAAATACAACGGACCCCCTGCTGACAGTGAGCCCAGGACCCTAGGAAGGTCAGGTGGTGGCAGGCACAGTCATCCCCTCTCCAACCAGGCAGAGCCTGGGGTTGGGCTCTGATGACCTCCCGGGCAAAGTGTCCAGGTGGAGGAAGCAAACCCCCAAATGGGGCACAGAGGGATAAAAAGCAGCTGAGAGACTGCTGGATGAGTCAGGGCCACTTGGCCGACGCTTTCTGCCTCGCCTGGCCGGGCCAGGCTCTCACCATAGGATGGAGTGTGACTGTGCGCCCTGCTCCATGTGCAGGATGGGCTGAGGGTCCGTGTGCACACCCCATGGCCACCGCTGACGGACACAGTCCTGCTCCCCACAGAAGCCTGCAGTCTGCACCCCCTACAACATGATCTGATCCAACAAGCCCCTGTCCGCCAGCACGTCTGGGGAAGGACCGAAAGGGTGACGGTGACTGTGCACACGGACACTGCCTCCAGCCACGGGGCAGCCTCTCGTCCTCTCCCAGCCTCCTGTCTGGTACCCCGGCCCCCTCAGGGAAGAGAACATCCCATCCAATCCCATCCACTCCAGTGTTACTTCCAATCTGCTGTCTCCTTCCTTCACTTTTTTTTTTTTTTTTTTTTTTTGAGGTGGAGTCTCACTCTGTCGCCCAGGCTGGAGGGCATTGGCACGATCTCAGCTCCCTGTAGCCTCCGCCTCCTGGGTTCAAACGATTCTCCTGCCTCAGCCTTCCAAGTAGCTGGGATTACCAGCGCCCGCCACCATGCCCAGCTAATTTTTTTTTTTTTTTTTTTGTATTTTTAGTAGAGATGGGGTTTCACCATGTTGGCCAGGCTGGTCTCAAAACTCTTGACCTCAGGCGATCTGCCCACCTCGGCCTCCTAAAGTGCTAGGATTACAGGCGTGAGCCACGGCGCCCGGCCTCCTTCCTTCACTTTTGAAATGAAAGCCTCTTTGCAAGTCCTGCTCTGAGAAATGGTCACTGCATGTGGTAAAGAGGCCCTGAGCCCCACAGCCGTCTCGCTTGGTCAGGGGTGGCGGGGCCCGGGTGCTGTCTGAGATGCCGGCTCAGGCGGGTTCCATCCTGGGCTCTGCTGCCCAGGCCCGGTGTTCCTGGAGGGCTCCAGATTCTGGGTTCTAGTCCTGGAAAGGCAGGAGGGAGAGGGGAAGGGAAGGGTGGGAGGGGCCTCCCAACCCATGCTTCACACCCCCAGGGCTCCTTGCAGACGGGGACATGTGCAGGAGTGTCCGTGGAGCTTCACATTTCGGGGCCGTCTCAACCAGTGCCTGTGAAGTGGCCGCAGCCTTGGGGTCAGGTTCCCTCCAGAGTCCACCAGGGCGACATCGCTCTCACAGTACACACTTCAGCACAAGAATGGCTCAGCCTTGATCCCCCAAACCGGGCACCATCGCTGTATCTAGGTGCGTGGGGGCGCCTCAGCAGCAGACGGGGCCATGGGCCTCTGGCAAGACACTTGGCTCCTGCTCCTGGGACGAGCTCCGGGGGGCCCTGGTGGCATTGGCCCGGACAGAGATATGGTCCCAGCCTCCCTGTTAGGAGAGAGCTGCGTCACCAGGGGACTCAGGGACTCGAGGATCCTGGAGGGGCTCTGCCTGGGGGCCTCCCTCCAACCCAGACCCCGGGTCCCAGGGGACTGTCCCATAGGACACAAGGTGACCACACAGCCCCAGACCATGGCCCCCGCTCACCCCGATGCCGTAGTCCCAGCCATGGCCCTTGGGCTCGTGGGGCTGCACGCCCGTGCGATGACACACCGTCCCCCGGCTCAGGCTGTGGCTGCCCTGCACTTTGTTGGCGATCACCCAGACCTGGAGCACACACCCCATGAAGCTCTCAGCCCCAGCTGCCGTGGGACGGCTGGGCACGGGATGGGGGAGACCAGAGAGGGAACCAGAGCACCCCAAGTGCCCGATACCCCCTGAGCAACCCCACCTGGTCCAGAGGCCCCACGGACACTCGGCACACGTTGTTGGACACGTGCTCCCAGCTGGAGCCCTGCGGGTAGCTGGGTGTGATCCCCTGGCGATACCACAGGTTTCCTGGGGAAAGAAGCAGTGAAGATAAAGGGGAAGACCTTCCTGGCCCCTCCTGCCCGTGCGGCCCAGCAGCCGGTGGCCAGGTCCCGCTCTAACCACTTCGGGGTTTGGGAAGCTGCCGGGGAGGCAGGAGGGTCCTGGCCCCTGAGTCAGGGCCACAGCCTCCTCCACTTCTCCACACTCAGGAGCCTGGGCTGCAGCCAGCTCTGCCTTCTGCACACTCAGGGCGTCCCCCAAGCCTCATAATTGCCCTATTGTGCTGGGCACGGCCGGCGTCCTGATCCTCTTTCTGCTGAGGCAGAAACTGTGGACAAGGGAAGTCCTAGCCAGAGCAATCAGGCAAGAGAAAGAAAGAAAGGGCATCCAAATCGAAAAAGAGGAAGTCACGGTGTTTCTGTTTGCCCACGATAGGATCAAATACCTAGAAAACCCTAAAGACTCCTCCAAAAGACTCCTAAGTTTGACACATGAGTTCGGGAAAGTCTCAGGTTACAAAATCAATGCACACAAATGAGTAGCACTGCTACATGCCGGCAGCAACCAGGCTGAGAATCAAATTAACCCCTTTTACAACAGCTGCAAAAAATAACACAAAATACCTGGGAATGTATATAACCAAGGAGGTGAAAGATCTCCACAAGGAGAACTACAAAATACTGCTGAGAGAAATCAGAGATGATAGAAACAAATGGAAATGCATCCCATGCTCATGGATTGATGAGTATGGGATGAATCAGTGGAAGAATCAATATCATGAAAATGACCATACTGCCCAAAGCAATCTACAGAGTCAATGCAATTTCTTTTAAAATACTGTCATCATTTTTTACAGAATTAGAAAAAAAAAAAAATCCTAAAATTCATATGGAACCCACAAAGAGCCTGAATGTCCAAAGCAATTCTAACCAAAGAGAATGAATCTGGAGGCATCACAATACTGGACTTTAAATTATACTACAAGCCTACGGTAACGAAAACAGTATGGTGCTGCTATAAAAACAGACACATAGCCTACCCCCGGCCAATGTATTATACACCAGTTGATACCTAAGTAGTTTTTGGGGGATGATATATTACTTACACATTTTCTATGTAGTAAATAGGTATGTGCATGTGCGTGGGTGCGTATCTGATTACTGTGTTGGAGTGATTCGTATGGTTTGGAACTGTTTGGGCCAAGTTTATGCAAAAATCTACATTTTTGAGTAAACTCCCCATGACTAGAGTAAGTTTCCCCAGTATTTGAGAATTCTTCACTTCCCAAAGCTGTACAAACATCAGATAATCAATATTTGTAAGGATCGATAATGTAACTTACAATGAAATTGCTTTCTCAGTTATTAACGTTAACTGGATCGTCTTCATGTAGCCTTATAACTCATTTGTGCTATTCCATTTTCCTCTGTTCCTTTTATTTTCACTTCCCTTATAATGTTAGTCTCTTTGTACTGATTTCTGAAGAGTTCATTTATGATTAAAGAGGATAACATTTTGTCTAGAATTGCAAATATGTTTTTTCTCATTCATGTTACTGTGGTGTTTTATTTTTTTGGTTATACAGAAGTTGTAAATTGAATGTAATCTTGTTCTGTTTTATGAAAAAAAAAAAAAAATAGACACATAGACCAATGGGATAGAAGAGAGAACCAAGAAATAAAGCCAGATATCTACAACCCACTGATCTTTGAGAAAGCGTACAAAAGCAGAAATTGGGGAAAGGAGAGTTTATCCAGTCAGTGGTGCTGGGAAAACTGGAAGTCGCATGTACAATAATGAAACTGGATCTGTCTGTCTCACCGTGTTAAAAAATCAACTCAAGATGAATCAAGGACTTACATCTAGACCTAAAACCATAAAAATTCGACAAGAAAACCTAGGAAAAGCTATTCAAGGGCTTTGCCTCGGCAAAGAATTTCTGACTAAGATCCCAGAAGCAAAATTTTGAGATGGAGTTTCACTCTTGTTGCCCAAGCTAGAGTGCAGTGGCGTGATCTCGGCTCACTGCAACCTCCACCTCCCAGTTTCAAGACTCCCGAGTAGCTGGGATTACAGGTGCCTGCCGACATGCCCAGCTAATTTTTTTGTATTTTTAGTAGAGACGCGGTTTCGCCACGTTGGGCAGGCTGGTCTCTAACTCCTGACCTCAGGTGATCCGCAACAAAAACAAACATAAATAAAGGAATCCTAATTAAACTAAAAAGCTTCTGCAGAGCAAAAGGAGTAATCATCAGAGCAAAGAGACAACCCACAGGATGGGAGAAAATATTTGCAAACTATGCAACTGACAAAGGACTAATAACCAGAATCTAGAAGGATTCAAACACATCAGCACACACACACACACACACACAACCAATAATCCCATCCAAAAGTGGTCAAATGACATGAATAGACATTTCTCAAAAGAAGACAAGCGGCTGGGCGCGGTGGCTCACGTCTT